TGTTGATCTGGATATTGTTCGCCTTGGCGGGCTGGTTTACGGCGTATCCTCTGCGGATACGATAGCTCGTGTGTTGCGGCTACGGCACCTCCCTCGTAGACTGGTCTATCCGCTTGATATTGTCTGCAGCGCGCTCATGAGTGCTCATGAGTGCGCTACCTGCGGCGGAAGCACCCCGCAGTTCCGTGTCGACGGAAAACTTCCACCACATCGCGCAACTGCAGATATTCTAGTGGGGCCTCATCACGAGAAGAAGAAGCAAGCAAACAGCTCATGTCAGAATGATGTCGAATCTCAATTGGCTGTTGCTGCTGATGTCGGATTTTGTATTACTCCGAAGGTCAGAGACAAATCAACCAACCCCGTGAAAGCTTCTCGATCGAATTCCTGAGTACAGACAAGCCCAATTCACAGTATGAATGAGCGAGACGGGGATGTTCACCGTATCGATGGAATACTCTCGCCCCCATCGCTTTGTATCACAACAAGCTTCCTGTAGAATGTTGTGCATACAACGATGTGTCTATGGATGAAAAATATATATATATACATTTATTTTCCAGATCCGTTCAAGAACCTAACAACTTTAATGCATGTGTCCATAAAATACATAGATGTGAAAGAGAGAGATATCCAAGTTTATTGGCACAGTGACTAGTGAATAGTATTTCCCTTGCAAAGTGAAACACCACAACATGATAAAGCTTTGATTTTTTCATTGATGTAAAACGCCGGCTTTTAAAATCAACATCATATATTTGTAATTTCTTTTATATGTAATGCAATAGGAATTTCTAGCTATTTGTTCAATCTTCGTGATCAAAATAATAATCGTTCCTATTTTATCTTTACATCCACTGGGTGTATGTGTGCGTGTCCGTATGCGTGTGAATTCATATCTATATCTATATATATATATATATATATGTGTGTGTGAAAGCCAAGTTTGTCACAATTAATTTCAAACTTGAGCTTTAATAGTCATCGAATTAATATACTTTTTAGATTTAAATAAAAAAATACAACCACTTCTGTAGAAACAGAAATTCATGAACATTGTGACTGTTATGTGAAATTTTATACGAATTAATTTGACAAAGCTTACTTGCAATAAAATGTTGTATCTAACAGAATTTTTGAGGTTCTCAATGTTTTGAAAATAACTGTGAAAATTTTCATTAAGCAATTTTTGAAAGGATTCCAGTTTCAGCCTCTCTCTCTCTCTCTCTCTCTCTCTCTATATATATATATATATATGCAGTGATCGAAGTAAAGGAAACACAATTTTCTTTTTATTTTTTTTAAAGATTTTGACGTTGACCCAAGAGGGAGAAGCTCAAGAGGTAGAACCCTTCCTTGTCATTGAAGGTCTGACCTGGTTCCATGCTCTTCTACTACTCATTTACACAATTAGACTTCACACCCGGGTATCAATCGAAGGGCAGGATGAGAAGAGATCAAAAACCCTATCATCATCCATTCGTCGGTACTAACTGCTTTGGGATGGATGTGTGAAGTTTTCGGCGACGGTGGGTTCCCAAAGGCGGGAACAAGCTCCCTCTGCATGAGAAATGTGGGCGAGCAATTATCAGGGGGTCACACACCTCCGTCTCTCTTTTTGTGTGTCATTCCTTTTCCTTTTTCTTTTTCTTTTATTGTTTTCCTCCTTTTTGGATCACTATGTCTTTTTGTAGGCAGCTGCAGACCTAGCACAGGGTGAAACAAATATCCACAACCAATGGATACAATGGAAAGTCATCAAAGCCTGTGGAGAGCACAGAACATCATAGCCAACAACCTCCAAGGGGACCACTAGTAAGACAAAAAAACAAAGCACAAAAAACAAAACAAAAAAGAAAACGAAAAAGAAGAAGAAGCAAAAGATGGTGAAAGGAAGTGAAGACTGCCACGAGGCTAAGCCCCATAGGATTGGTATCCTTCTCCCTTTCTTCCTTCATTGATTTTTATTGCTTTACTGGTGATAAAAACATGGAATGTAGACAACGCTGCCCAGTGCCTGGACTGGAGGGTTCAATAAAATTCATTACCCCATGAAACGGTGTAAGAAGGATCCCTTATTGGTGGTACCAAACTAGGGTTTGGTGTGTGGGATAGTGGTCGCCCCAGGCCTTGGCAGGTCAAAAAGTTCAACAACTGATGACTTAATCCTTTTAGTGAAAAACCCAGAAACAGTTGTGTTATTGCTGGAGATAAGTTGAAGAGACTGACTGACTGTCAGACTGAATGAATGACTTGGGATGTGATGAATAGGGAAACAGGCTCAAAAACCTTTCTGAAGGAGGAAGAAGGGAGAGGCTTAGTTGGTGGCACATCATTGTTGTTGTGCCATGACTTTTGGGAGATGACCCATGTGCTAGAGCCCCCCTCCCCCCCCCCCCACCCACACACTTCCTTTGCAGGTCGATGAACTAAAACAAAAACAATAACAAAATCCTCCATTTATCAAAATCTTTCATCCTGCACCCCCCCCCCCGCTTTGTTTCCAAGCCCCTGCCTACTCAGCTCATTTCTCATGCTACCCACTTGGCATCCCCAACCCCCTTGTGTGAACTGGATGTTGGTTTATGTGACCTGGACAGTTGATGGTGCACTCCTTAATAAATGCTGATTTGAACAAAAGTTTAAGCTTTGAGGGTTTTAAACTTTGTGTGCAAATGCTTTGGAAAGGTTATTGAATGTCTGTGTACATGTGTCCATCTATACCTACACATTAACATACTTATTTTTTTATGGAATTTCTTTGGTTCAATAACTCAGAAGCGGAATTATCCCTGATTTGCCTTGTGTTGGCAACATGTGTTATCCTGTATAAACATTTTGTGGATGACCACAATCAACATTGTATTAGCTGCTGCTTTCCTGCCTAGATGCTATTTCCTAGAAATACACAAATGATTTATTTGTAAATGTGCATTAGATGTGTATGTACAGACATACAAAGAGAGATCCCAGATGAAAGGAAACACTGTTCATAAATAAAGTATTCGGAAATTATCTAATCCATCTATCAAGCTCTTTCCCCATTATTCACTGCTCTCAACAGCAACTGCCTCCCTTAACCAAGTTTTCAATGCAATTTCCCTGATTCCAGACAAATATCCTTCGTCAATTCTTGATTTCCTCCAAAATTGCATAACAGTTATGGATTTGGTAACAGATCCCTTGAAAGAAGATACATATAAATAAATGAAATGACATTTAACTGCTTACAGACAGTGGAAAAAAGAGAAAAATAAATAAATCAAAGCATGTTGGATGAACACATGGGTCACATGTTATAGGTTAGCATTGCTTGAGTTTCAAGAAACTACTCATTCCAGAAACTTCATTTCCTCTTTTTGTTTATTGCTACATACATGTATACAGATGATAGCAAGCACTGTTGTAGGTCTATATTACATGACAGCAACAGCTGCATCCATCCATTCATTTTTGTAAATTTCTGCTACTTCTTATTGCTCAATACATGCAACAAGTTGTAGCTCAAGCCCTAAAGTTTTGAATCATACTTAATTGGCATGGGTTGTGAATATTTAGCCACCCACACCAACCCACCATAGTGAAAGAAAGAATGAAGTTGTTGGCTTTGTAGAGGAGAATTCTGGTCTACAAAAAGTTGACCAACACCTTGGTCTTTCAAGTCTTTTTCTACACAGTGGCTGTACAACTCATTACTTATGCAGACTCTTTGTGGGAAAAAAGGCATTCCATTCCAATCCCAGAGTTTTGTTCTCACATGAAGCAATTTATCCACACATTTCTGGTTACCCCCCTTTTTTATTTCTCACATCGATACACACCAAAAACTCAGCCAGTCAGAACAATGGATGATTTTCAACCCACAAACCAAAGCAAATAGAATATTTAAGTATTAAATTTAAATGATGGAAGTTTCAATCACATTGGAAAACGAGGGAAGTATCTGATAGCTCTCGAAAGTATTATATATAAAAATAATTCCCAGGTTATTGAAGAATTACCACGGAGGAGGGCAGAGGGGATATTAATGACAAACCCAGTGGCCGAGAGTGGCGAAATGGCTGTTGAGCTGAAGAGAGCGGTACTTTCCCGGAAGATCGACCAGGTTTAGGGGTCGCGAGGGGGGTTTGAAATCGACGGCCAAAGAGAGGGAACTGCGGTGCTGACGTGAGGGGATATGAATAAGAACCCCGTTCACACTGCCGTTAAGGTGGCGCCACGCTTTCAAGCGTGGCGCTGAATCGGAAGAGAAGGCGCGAGTGCCGTCTACGTAAAGGCAGGTCTCATGTTAATCCTCAATCCTTGCCACCACACACGCATTTGGAGGTGGGCTCGAAAAAGATAAAAAGAAATCGGATAACCCCTGAATCGGCGAATCGGCAAGTCCAGGAAGATGGGAGCGCGCTGACGGAACACTCCGCAGTAACGAACTTGATCGATAATCCGGTGGATTTCTGTGGGGTCCAATGTGGCGAGGTGCAGGGAAGGGAGTAGTCGATGATGGTGGGGTTCGACGAGTTAGTGTGTAGCTTGTACGAAGACGAGTGACAAGGCAGACAGAGTGAACAGAGCCAACTTGGGCCGGTGCGTTGCGTTGAACAGATGAGGAAGCAGATGGGGAATTTGACTTTTTGCAGTAGACGGAGGGGGTAACTCGGGTGGATTAAAATTGGATTAATTAAGTAGCGACAGACGCGGCAGGAGCATAGGAAGTGCAGTGGATTTGGAGGTTTGGGTAGTTGGACTTGGCAGGGATCTGGATATACCCAAGCTTGCTGGCGTGCTTTTGCTTCATTCTGAGACGCAGCAGGTGGGCGCATACAGCGTTAAAACGAGTCCATTTGAGCGACTGCATGGGAGAGCGAGAGAGAGAGAGAGAGAGAGAGAGAGAGAGAAGGACTCCAAGTCAGAGCAGGTGGTGGTTGTGTGTTTGTTTGCAAAACGGCGACAAGATTAGTCGGCCTGGTCAGGTATAGCTTCGATGTCGAGATTCTGGACTGCTGGCACACAGCTTTGTTGATCGAAACCAAGGTTATGGTGGAGGTTGTTTTGTGTTGCGCTCACGCTGGGCATTGGGGAGGCTCGGTGTTGGCAGTGTATGTTGTCAATCTGATGAGTAGAGTTGGAAAGCATGTTTTGTATGGACTTCTTATTGCGTAGTGATTGATATGCTTGCGTAGCATGATGACGTCGACGGTACTCGCGAGCAGAATCCCTCTTCGACCTGGGAGCGAGTGTGTAGAGTATATCCTCTGCCGCGATGTAGTCCCGCAGAGGACGTGGATCGAAATCGATCCTTGTTTAGAGTTCCGTGATAGGGAGGAGTTATCTGTGCACTTGAGAACGTTGTTTCATATTTTGAAAACTTCCAGCCACAGTTCTGTGGTCTAAGTGGTTCTACTCGACATTGAAAGCGGGTAAGAGAGGTTGTTCGATTTGTTTTAGATGCCGATGTGGATTCTGCGAGGTTATTCATGCAGCGTGAACAAGAATCATGAGCGAGTCTTTCACGTAGAGCGTTTCAGATCATATTGAAGTGTTTTACAAGGACAGCGTTTGGAAGTATGTACTTACTCCAATAGTACGTAGGGGAGTACGCTGTCGACGTTGAAGTTGATACTTGAATAACAAGGGATTTAGATTTTGAGCTTTGGAAGGAATGCATTGATCTGCTGTAATTTCAGTTTCTTAAGAGATATTATTGGAAGGGGGTCGAAATTTCAGCCACGAAGGCATCACAATATAACTTCATTAGGTTGAGGTTGAGGTTATGCTTCTTTTCAGGAGCTCTTTGCCTTTCTTCTCGAGGCTATTAGACGAAGCGATATCATAGTCGTTACCGTTGACCTAATTCCTTCCAATAACGATGAGTCGGCTGTGATGCCTCGTGGCTGAAATTTTGTTTCTATTCAAAGCATTCCTCTTTTATTGAGATGTTTTGAGAAGGAATTCTTTCTCAATAGATTCATGATATCTGAAAGTTTTGTGTACACTCAAGAACATCATTTCACATTTAGAAGGATTTTAGACACGATATGTTGAGTGGAAGCTATTCGGTGTTGAGAGGGGATCATGTGGAGCTTCGGTCTTTGCTTCGGTGATGATGGTTCAGGGCTGTGCATCTGGTGTCTTTTGAAGTGTTGTAAATGTTTCATGCAATAACTTAGGCTCAGGAAGTAATTTGTGATCTTTTTAAAAATTTCCTCAGGTGCACTGCGATTCAAGAAGAAGAGAGGATCCTGGTGCAGCGCTGGCTTTTGACAGCACCCGAAGTAGAGGATATCTGAGGATCATATTGAAACTTGCGTATCGACGATTCGAAGGGTGGTCTGTTGGTGGAGTCTTTTAGAGAAAACTTTGGTGGAGTCTTTTGGACAAAACTCCGGGGGCGTTGTCCGAACCGGATAAACTAGGAGTTAATATTTGGAAGGGGACAATTATCTCGCGCACACCGAAGCATTCTGTTTACTTTTTAACAGGAGATGTTCGCGTTTTGGGGATCGTCTCCGTTAAGAGTGTCTCTTGTGTACTCCATCGCTACTTTGGCGTTTGAGTCCGCAACCTATCCTGAAACTTGCGCACGGATCACTTCAGATCTTTAACCATGGAGTATAACCCATGCATGGACACACGCGGCTTGAGATCTAGGGGTCCGGTGCACTGCGCGGTGTTTCCCGGAACGCCTGTTTCTGTGTCACTTGCGAATTGCGACATCGAAGCTCTTGTGCAACCGTCACCTCAGCAGGTAGAAGCTTATGAGCTTTATCTGCACCTTCCCGATTTGACCCGGCTATGGCGGTTGAAGGAGTTTCCCAATTGGAAAAACGAAAGATTAGTGAGACCTGCTCTTCACAGCTTAGAGCTTGTGTTCCGCATGATCTCATGTGTTCTATGCGATACGCGGCCTTACATATATCGCGACGAATGGCTTCGGAGATTGGAGTCACTCATAAACTCGCAGCTGGAGATTTTATCCTGCATCGTTGAAGGGGACGATGAGGCGCCCACATCGACGCTATCTAACAGTTGCAGCCACGTAGGAACCGAGTCGGTGGTTTGGCACAAGTCTGGGTCGCGGCCAATTGTTAGTAGAATCAGCAAAGAAAGTTTGTTACCTCGTCTTGCTTCCTGGAGAACTGCCCAAAATGTAAGCACTAGGTTGCATTTTGCTATTGAAGGTCACATGGCACGCGCACCATTCACTCTGGGCCTTGGGGAGCCCAATCTGTCTGGCAAGCCGGTTTTGGAGTATGACAAAGTTTGCACACCTCTTGAGGTACTATTTCTCTGCGCATTGCCACTTTCTTAAATTTTTCACTTTTCTTGTGGCAAATTTGTCCGAAACCTCTTAATTAGGTTGATACATCTCGGGATTGTATCCGACTGGGAACATGCTGGTTTATGATTCTATGAATTTGCGTCATAGTATTTAATTTACTGCAGATCTTGTCTCTCTCATGGCGAAGCGCTCATCAACTTAAGACCTATTTTTTTATAGTATTTGATCGTGCTCTAGAATTTGAAGTCGTGACTGTCTGGGACATTCGTAAGTTTTTGTTGTTCTACGACCAGAATTTTGCAACCAACTCTTATCATCTACTGGGAATTAGGGTTTGACTTCTGAATCCTCATTCCGCAACTTATTTGAAGAAACGAATGCCGTCATCGGTTTCGCGAGAGATATTTTAGAGATTGCATTTGCAACAACAATGTCTTTGGTCTCAACCATGTGCACGGTGGTTCAAGTATACTAAAACGTATTGAATGTGCTTATTACTTTCACGAAGGAATCTTATGGAGTGTTTGTGTAACAGGTTTATGCGTGCAGACAATCCATGCCTGGTCATCCTGAGGATCACACCCTCTCGACTGTACATCAAATCATGGAAGCGTGGTTGGAAGTGGCTTCTGGTTTGCTACAGAATGTGGAAACAATGGTTAAAGAAGGTAACTGTGAATTGGCCGCCAAGAACTGCTGGATTGTTGAGCGTGTGTGGAAGCTTCTTATGTCCACAATGGACCTGCTCCAAATCATGGATCCAGACGATTTCATGCGCTTGAAGGAAGAGCTTGCAATATCCCAGGACGAGGCAGCTATCAGCACTAAACACATTGGTGGAGGTGAGACAGTCATCTTGCTCTTGTTACAATGTTGTAAACGTACGGACCACTGTTAAGTTGAGTTTCTCTGCATTTAATAAGCCGTAAATTTCAGTTCTGATGGATTATGAATTCTGTAGGTGCTTACTGTTTGCGATCCACGAGGCTAAGAAAAATCACCAAGGGCTGCAAGGACCTTCGGCTTTTGGTCCCCAAGGTGGTTGGAGTAGAAGCCGATCCCAAAGGCGGTCCAAGGCTTCAAGAGGCAGTAATGGACCTGCTCCATTCGCATGGGATGAGCACTCATGTGGCCCCGCCGTTTCGGCGACCCTTGGCATACCACTCGTCCACAATCCATCTCCTCCAAGCGTTTCAGGCGGTTGAGGCAGCAGTTCGGCAATTCTACTTCTCATACCAGCAGCTAGTGATCGCTGTTATGGGAAGCGGGGAGTACAAGGCAACGGCACAAGCGGAAGTTTCTGCTGCAGATGCGCTGTCTCAAATCTACTTTGAGCCGCCGTATTTCCCCAGCCTCGACGGTGCGAAGACATTCCTCGGTAGCTATTGGCATAACAATCCGGAACTTGAGGAGGGTGCTATCATGAGGCAGCTCATGGTGGAGAAGACAAGCCGACAATTGAACACAGGAAACTCTAGTAAGGCTTCCAGTGTTGATGCAAATAGTGGCAGTGGGGACAGCAATAAGGCGGACACAAGTGAAGAGCGAGCACAAAAGGTACTTAGCATCTTCTATTGGAATTCGTATTTTTTTAACGTTATCTGGAGGGATCTAATGAATGAGCTTTTTCATATCATGATGTGGTGCGGATCTTTGGTGCTAATATTCTAGTTGCGGTTGTTGCTTTTTCCGCAGCCTTCAAGACCTATACAAAAGAAGCAGTCTTACGCGACCCTTGCTTACATGTATCAAGGAGCAATGGGGGCTTGATATGATGGTGCCGAAATATTTAGCAGTGTGGAATTGGTGGAGATCCTCTAAAAGACGGAGGATGTCCTTTAAATTAGCCATCAACACGGGGAGGTGATAATCCACCCTGGGAACTACTGCCTCGGCATTCGGGTCGAGGACGTGGCTGTTTGCTTTGAACTTTCCCTCCCTCCCTCCCGCGCACACACACACGCCCACAGAGTTCTTGTGCGAAAGGGGATTATGCCGATGCTCGGTCCGCACTCCCCGCCTCTGGAAATCAGTGGACGACAGATATCAGTGGATCATGGATTCTATAGGATTGCAATACGAGTGTAGAGAGTTTGTCTTCGGACGTTGACGGCCCTTAAGAGAGCTGGAATAGGAAGACGGACGTAGTCGATCATTGTCACGGGATTGGTGTGTTTTCGTTCCGTATGTTTTCTCATTTTTACTGTGGTAGAGGTGTAAATTACATTATTATGAGGTGTGGACATTTTTGTGTATATTGGTCCCCCTTCAACCAACCTTGGATCTACGAGGTAGTTTCAAGTACAGACTTGACTATGCCTACTATTTAATTTTTACTGTTATTTCTGTTACTGCAAACAAGTGCTCCACGCTGTTTGCAGTTGATCTTAATGCTTTTTTTCATTTATTGTGGCTCTCACATTACAGGGCTTTTCAGTCTGCCAGGATCACAATGCGTTCCACCTTTGTCCGCTTACAAACACCGTGATGCTTTCAACACCGTACTTGCAGCCCATTACTAGCCGAATGGATCTACAGTGGAGTGCGAATGAAACGATTGTAAATAGTGAACAGTGAACAGTGCCGGCTTTTGTACAAACGTCTATACTTGTACATTCATGGTGTCGATTTTATCAATTAGTAGAAGCCTTCGTTTTTCAGAAACTGCATGCTTTCTGGATCCGTTCACCCACTTTTCCTAGCCTTAGTCTTCAACCTGTTTTTGTTTTTGGTGGCTGTATTCGTGTATACTGAGTACGTGCGTCCAACGTAACTGGCAATGAATTTTCCCATTCTATCAACCTCTGCTCTGGTACTTCCATGTCCGCAGCCAGAGATGCTGTGCTGCTGCTTTAGTAATCTAGTTCTCCTCATGGAACGCTGTTACTACATTCAAGTTTGCAGGAGTTAAGAACGACGATCATCTTGCTCTGTGGGATTGGTTCATCAGATTTAAATCGATCCGTGGAGAAGCAAGCACAGAATCCACTTATTCTGACTGCCCGATTCGCTGCGCCTATGATCACCCAGGCCCTTGGCTGTTTCTGTTTTAAAATCCTGAAAATTCAAAAATAGCATTCGACCAGTTTACCAGCCGCTACTTCACTGCTACTTCACCGCTACTTCACCTTCACATGTTCCACGGACGTACTGTCGCTCTTCGCGTGCGCCGCCCAGAATACTTCTTCCACAACATTTTTCAGGCAGTCCACGCCATGTTGCAAATACAACGATGGAATTTGCTAATTCCTCCTAGGTTCCATCGAATTTCCCCTCCATGCAATCATCCCTACGGGCACAACAGCCTGCAATAGCCTTATCCAAAGATGATTCATCAAGAGCAGGTTCAACGGTGACAATCCCCTACGGCTACGTCACCGACCAGTCCAAATTCCTTGTTCTCTCAACACTTCGTTCCCACCACTTCGTTCCCACCACTTCGTTCCATGATTTCTGGGAAAGACGCGTCAATCAGAATCAACAGACTTCCGCACGAAATGCGAAATACTCTCCCTACTAGAACAGGAAACGGTTTCTGCTCTAACCAACCTAGAGTCGTAGGTTGCGTTGGTCGAATCATTTTTTGGCCAATCTCTAGGCAACGACCATTCCAGCGAGCCGATTTGTTTCGTATTTATCGCTGCTTTACATCTGTACATATCCAATGCTCTACGTGATCACTCACAGTCAGAATATTCTAAATGAACACCTAAAAATTGCAATGAGCGACGATAGCCAGTTGAAACTAGAGGCCCATCTGTTCGTGCAGTTGGCGAATCACCGCGGGACGTCATGGTGACTGCTGGTTGACGGCTAAACCTGTTTGTAGTGCTGAATGGTGACTTCAATTGCAAGCCACGATGCAGTAACGCTGACGCTGTGTTTCTCCTCACACTGCTTCTCAGGTTGTTCGAATCATTCCCCTTCACATGGCCGCTCTCTCTCCTAGGATTTACCACTTTCTCAGACAATCGAGACACAATATGTGCCACAGACATTTATATTGCTTCAATTAAGATATTCAACTCTAGTGAATATGAGTTTCAAATTTCTACACCATTCTATCTCCACTGACATTACAAAAGATTTCTCATGTTTTGCAATGTTGTGAAAAATATTGCTATATAGCTTCTAGTTAGATAGTACATATAGAAGCAAGAATAATGTTAGGGACTATATACAAGATAAGGATTCAAGATCAAGAAATGGAGTTAGCTAGACATTATAACAACAACTGGATACAAGATAATAGGTCGTAGCTAAACTACAAGAAGTGAGTTGTCAAGACTGAGGATTCCTTCAACCTCAACTCATATATATACTAGGTCCTAAAAAGCTTCTTGAGAAGTTTCTATTAGGCTTGAAAATAAAACAAGTATAAGATTCTCCTTTAGCAGCTTCCTAAATCATCTAAAGCTTCTTAGATCCTTCTAAGACCTCCTATAACCTTCTAGAACTTTCTTAGAATCTACTAGAACCTTCTAAAACCTTCTAGAATCTCCTAAAAGCTTCAAGAGCCTTCTTAGAACCTACTAGTACCTTCTGGAACCTTCTAGAACTTTTTGGAACCTTCAATTGTATGTCTGTGACATCACCTCTTCTTTTAGCTTCGAGGTCTCTGAGAAGCAAAGTTGAAACAAGCTAGTATATGTACAAGAAGTTGAAGATCTGTTGTATGGTGTTTACTATATATTTTAGTTATTTTTTGCAAGATAAATGGTTCATAGGCTCTTATAGCCATTGATAGTGCTTTAAGTCTTCTACTTGTGACCAAGCATGAACTTTGGCATCTTCATTATGGAATTGTCCTACAAACATTCTTTTTGGACGTCCTTCTTAGGTAAGTTCTACCTCAAACATAATTACTAGGTATCCTTTGACGTCTTTGTGGTTCAAGCGGCTCTTCATCTTGGGATTGTCTCTACGAGCTACTTAATTGAGATGGTATGATTGGCAAGGCATCTATCTCTTGACTATCTATATCATATAAAATAGAAAAGATCAAAAGAATATAAATAGGCTATGGTTGTGAACTCAAACTACTGACTTATAATATTCTAAATATTTGACAATAATTGCCTCTTGAGAGGTTGCCTCCTTCCTTTCTTTATTAAGCCAAGAATTAAGAATCTTCATGGTAAAGCCATCTTATTAAGCTACTATTCTTCATTTTGCTGCTTTTGGTTTAGATGGATGTTGTTGATGGAACTTTCGAACCTTCATTTGTACATTTATAAGATTGCCATCTAGTTCTCATGTGCAATTGTTGATATCATATCCACGCCAATGGATCAAATATTCAAGCCTTCCATGTCTTATCCTTGAATCTAATACCTCTTCTATCTCAAATTTAATATGATCATTGATTTCAACCATAGAAGGTGGTGGTTGTCTTGGACCTGGTATGTTCGATTCTTTATACCTTTTCAAAAGTAAAACATGAAAGACTAGATGAATCTTCATAGATGAAGGTAACTCCAAGCGATAAGTTCGGTAATTAATTTTTTTCTGAATCACAAATGGTGCCAACCTTTGGTAGTCCAACTTATCATATGGCCTGTTAATTTTTATATTGTGCTGAAGAAACCATATTTTGTCACCAACTTGGAATGGACAATGTTCCTTCCTCAATTCATCTACCAATAGCTTATAATATTGTTGAGTCCTTTCTAGATGAGTCTTCATGGTTGCTTGAAGTTTGGCCATCTTCATAGTCAACTCCTCTACTGCTAGATTTGTCGACTTTGAAGACTCTATGACATCCAACTTTGGATGATGACCGTAGTTTGAGTAGAATGACATTTGTTGTATAGATGGATGGATTGTGTTATTATATGCAAACTCCATCAATGACAAGTAGGAAGTCCAATTGTCTTGTTGATAGTTGATGGTGTACATCAAATATTATTTAAGAATTTTATTGATTTGCTCCTTTTGGCCATCAATTTGACGGTAGAATGTAGAGAAAAGGTTGATGTAAATCTTAAGAATCTTAAAAAGTGCCTTTCAAAACCTTGATACAAATTGTAGCCCACGATCTAACACAATGTCGTTTAGAAACCTGCGGTAATGATAGACATTGTTAATAAATAGTCTTGCCATCTTTTCACTAGTGATTGATTTTTTATAAGATATAAAATATGCCATCTTAGTCAATCGATCAAAAACTACAAAGATAGTATCAAATAAGTTTGATGGTAGGAAATCTATAATGAAATCCATAGAGATAGATGTCCATGGTTGTCTTAGAATAGGAAGGAGTTGAAGAAGTCCATATAACCGATGTCAAGAGTTTTTTGACCTTGAACAAGTATTAAATGATATTACAAATTCTTTAATGTCCTTTCACATTTTAGGCCATTAAAAGTCTCTAGACAAAAGTTCCAAGGTTTTGTTGAATCCAAAATATTCAAATGTAAAGAAATCATGGCATACTTGAAGAATGCGTAGGCAAGTTGGTCCTTCAAAAACGAACAAAAGTTCTTCAAAGAACAAGTAGTCTTCATACTTGAATTTAAAAGATTCTTCAGAAAGGTTGTTGGCAAGATGCTTGATATTAAGAACAAGAAGGTCCATGTTTGAAGCTTTACAAATTTGATCAAGAAATGATAAATTCACATGCATTGATACATTGGTTGCTCAAAGATGAAATTGTTCAAGTTTTAACAAGGTTGCCTATTATTGATTATATGTTGCCTCACCTTCTTTTGGTTCAAAGTAGGAATTTCTTCATAATGCATCTGATAACCTTTGTTGGCTCTCGGATCAATATGTGATGGAAAAATCAAATCATGATTGTATATACTTCAATGTTCTTAGCAATGATTCAATACTCGGGCTGACATGAAGTATTCAAAATTCTTGTGATTTGTATATACAATCACTTTAATAAAAGGTGCCTTTAAAAAAATGGTGCCATTTTTAGAAAGAATCTATAATAGCAAGTAGTCCTTTATTGTGGATTTTGTAATTAATTTTTACTAATGAGAATTTTTAAAAATAGAATGCAATTAGATGAAGTTTATCATCTTTTCTATATAATGATAAAAATGCTCTCAATGCAAAGTCTGAGGCATCAATCTCCGTAAAATAGGACTTGTTGAAATTTGGATGTATCAAAATTAAATCTATTATGAAATCATCTTTTAAGCTTTCAAAAGCTTTCTTTGCTTTGAGGCCCTAGTCTAGTTTGTCCTTGCATGTCAACTGTGTAAGTAGAGCAACAATCTTTGAGTAATTTTTAACAAAATTTTTGTAGAAGTTTGAAAATCTAAAAAAACATTGAACATCACATACAATTTTTGACTTTGCCCAATCGATGATTGTTTGTATCTTCTTTGGATCCATAAAAAGGCCTCTATTGAAAATAATATATCCAACAAATTTGACTTGAGGTATATGAAATACATACTTTTCCAGTTTTGCATATAGTCCAACACTTCGTAGCTTTTCTAACACAAGACGGTGTCGTGTTGTAACACGAGTATACAGTGAAAATAAAAAGAAAGGGGAATTTTATTAATATTCAGTTACCTCGAATATTGGGAGCATCGACCAACTCCTGTACAAATACTGAGTGGCCAGGTTCAGTCACCCCGTTACAGTCATTCGGGGCATACTGAAATGCTCCATTCAATTCCAATAACGGGAGTCCGCAGGAAGAGAAGGACCAATTCACACGACGGGTTCGAAGAGCCAATTGGATCCAATTTCAAGAATCCAATCTGGGTCCTCTTACCCAATATGAGACCTGAATTGGCCGGGCAACCCAATGCAGACCCAATTACGGAAACATCCAGGTTATTACGAGCATCTTACTCAATATGGGACCTGAATTGGTCGGGCGACTCAATGTGGTCCCGATTACGGGATTTCGATTCTGTTTCAAGCTATCCTATTCTCTGTGCCGTTTCAGGGAACGTTGTTTTCGGTAAATGGATCTCTTAAAGGTAAAAACGGAGGAGAAGGCCTTGATGACGTGAGCCAATTTTGGATCTAAGCTCTGACGGCGGGAGCCAATTCCGGATCTAAGACGGAAGATTGAAGAAATTCAGAGGATAAGGTTAGGGGGGATATAGTTTTGAAGGGGGTTTTTTTTTTTTTTTTTTTTTTTTTTTTCTCTGGGAATCGGGGGGAGCTAGTTTCAAGCTTTTGTAAGGTTACTAGTTCGGTTTTCATTGGAGGTTTTTGAAGATCAAGGGGATTAGAGAAAAGGAGCTTCATGCTTTGGGTCGGGGAAGGAAAGACATAGAATTTGGATTTTTCTTCTTCGTAGAGTTTTGGGAAGACTGAGGCAATCGCTGCTGAAGTCAGTATTGTAATGGTGAATCGGGATTTTTAATGAAGTGGGTTTGAATACTCTTGACTGTTTTGTGAAATCGAGTTACGTCTGTGACTGAAGGATTAAAAGGGTGTCTATAGGATTGAGTATGCAAAGTAAATGAAATTTATTGGGTTAATCTAACAAGACAGTCAGTGGATACAAGATCGTAAGTAGAAATCGGTATCGGAGATTAGCAGATTGGGTTGTTCGGGGTTCTCTGTAACGTCTAGAGACCTATCGGCTGGGGCAAAAAGGACTTCGATAAGCAGTCAAAGAGCATCCGTATAGATTTACGGTACATTGTTGCAGTCGTTTATATTCCAGCAGTCAAAACTGATAGACTGCTTGACTATCGGCGAATCTCCATACTACCTTCTACAGCCAAATTCCCGGCGCGTTCTCGAGCAGGAAAGCACGTAATATGACAAAAAGTGGTGAACCCGACGTGAAAGCTTGAGGTGGAACGTATTGGATTTCGGTTGATTTTATCTTTATTTTTATGGAAAACGAAAATAAAAATTTTGAAGGATTTTTGGGAGGAGTTTCTGGTGGGGAGTCTTCTAAAGGACAAGGTATGCACATGGATCCGTCTATTGCTAGTTTGTTTCAAGTCTTCTCATTGTCAATGCAGCAACAGCAAAGCAATGATCGAAAGGAAGCTTTGGCAACCAAAGCATTACAAGCAGTGGTCAATAAAATTGATCAATTTGATGGGAGGAATATTTCAAGGTATTTAAGATGTTATGTTCGTGAAATGGAATTAAATCGGGTTTCTGAGAAGAAAATGGTTGCACTATTTGGACTTGCCACGATACCGGAGATAAGGGACCACATTACATCGATTAGGGATCGTTATGGGAATTCATGGGAGGATTTTTTACATGCATTGAAAGACGAATATTTCTTGGAAGATGTTGATCGCGTTACTAAGAAGCTGTTTCTGGGATGGATTGAACAGCCCAATAAGAATTTGCAAGCAACAGAGCTACTAAGGGAATTTGAGAGGCAGTACTCTCAATTATCGAAGGTAGAAAAATTGACATTGGAGCCGAACAAAGTTGATCTATTTCTTCAAGCTGTTGATGGAGAATTGCAAGAGAAATTAGAACCCCTTCTTGAAGACAAAGAAGAAGATGAAGGATTGACAACGAAGTGGAAGAACGTTGAAGATGCGGTGGATTTGCTTACAAAAAAAGAAAGGAGGAAGGATAGGAGCAATATTTCGAAAACAGTATAAGCACCCAAAGCTCCAGTACGTACAACACCACCAACAATGCCTACAGTTCAACCTTCGACATCCTTGTCAAAGAAAGCAGATATGGGTATGGAAGAAATTATACGAGGAATGCGAGATCTTCAAATCAAATTGGCAAGACTTGAAGAGAATACTTCTATAAACAATTCGAAGAATGTTTCAAAACAAGGATATGTACAAAGATGCATTTGGTGTGATGATGCTTCACACACTAGAAAAGATTGCTATGAATTTAATAATATGATATGGCAGGGAATTATTTGCTGGAAAGATGGGAAGATAGCATTGAAAAATAGAGAGGATCTTCTTCAAACCAATTTTTGCAAGGGAGGAATGAGAGCATTGGTTCAAGATTACTTAAAAGAGCATGAAACAGTAGCACGAGAAAGTGCAAGTTATGGTGCTAGAGTAGATGATGCAAT